ATTTTGTATATTTATAAAACATTGGTATTTTATAAAAATCTGAGATAAAATTGTCATAGTTATTTACATATTGTTATCAGATGTTTTTACACCTGAAAAATGGCCAGGAGCCAGGATTAAGAATTCTTTGTAATTCTGGCTTGAGTCTTTTCGAATATCTTCATTAAAAAGGTGAGGAGGGGTCAGACTTGTGAGAATGAATTTTACCTTCAAAGGGACAAAAAAGGAAAGAGGAGAAAATCTAACTATGGAGGAAGAGAAGTAGTTAAGTTTTCAGGGGTCCTGGAATTGGATCTGGGAACCTGCCTCCTTCTTTTTTCCTTTTCTCCTCAAAATTTTCTATCTTTTCTTTCTGTTTCTCTAAGGTTTCTCCACCTCAATTCTTATTTTTTTTTAAATTGGGGAGCAGTGTGTTTTCCCAGGACCCATCAACTCTAAGTCAAGTAGTTGTCTTCAATCTAGTTGTGGAGGGCGCAGCTCAGCAGCCCATGCAGGGTTCGAATGGCAACCTTGGTGTTGTGAGCACTGCGCTCTAACCAACTGAGCTAACCAGCCACCCCTCCACATCAATTCTAAGATGATTCCTTGAGAGACCTTTGGAATTAGATGGAGACCTGAATTACTTCTAAGGAAAATACAAATGACTAATCAATATAAGAAAAGATGTTCAGGGCTGGCCGAGTGTCACATTGGTTAAGAGTTGCCTTGGGACACCAGCTCTGAGCAGCAGGGCCCTGGTTCGGATCCCACATGAGGGCCAGTGACGCTGCACCTTCTACAGCTAAGAGGGTGAACAACAGCTCGACCTGGAGCTTAGCTGCTGAGAGTAGCCAGTGAGGGCATAGCCTGCAACCTCTGCTGCAGTGGGCTGCCAAGAACTGCCATGAGCGGCCATCCAATGGCTGGCGAGCGACTGCCTCAACCGGGAAGAGTGCAATGATCACAATACCAACATAGGCCAGTGAAGCGACATCCTCCACAACTAGACTGAAGAACAAAAGGACAGCAACTTGTCTGTTCCCCTCCCCAATTCACCAATAAAATCTTTAAAAAATAAGATAAGATGTTCAGAGTTACTAATATAATAACTAGGGAATTGGTAGTCTAAACAAGGTACCTTGGAAGAATTTTAAAACTAACAAAAAAAGGAGATACAAGTGGTAAAAATGTTTTTAAAGTAGTACATTTGTGTTCATTTAGAAATTTTTAAGTACCATGTACCTCTTTGGATATGACTCAGGATGTATATGACTATGACTTCAGATTAAAAAAAAACTGAAATGCTATACTGATAAGAGTATTTTGGCATTTCAATACTTTAAAAATCTAGCCTTTAAAATTTCAATTCCCATCACAGAAGTCTCTCTTTTCCTCCCATCCCAATCCCAACAAAGTGATCAAACCCTACTCTGTATCCACGATATAACATATATTTTCCTACTAGCAGAAATAATTGTATTTGTTTACATGTTTGGTTCCACTACAAGACAGCAAGTGACTTGACAGTAAAGACCTTTTTTTCTTTATTCAATCAGTGAAGATTTACTGAGCCTGTATACTATGCAGGCATTTAGAAAATGAGCATACAAAATTAAGTAAGATAATAATCCTCCTCCCAAGGAACTTAGAATTTAGGGGAGGACCTGGGCAATTACAAGATAGAATAACAGAGATCAGCATGCACCTAAGGAGAAAAACTATAGAACCCACGCTGGAAGGTCAGGAAAGCTTCCCAGATATTTTAATGTTTGAGCTGTGTTTGAAGGGGGAGAAAACATATCATTTATTTTATTTGAAGATCATTATAAAAAACGCAAAACTTTGTACTCTGTGTTCTCTAGCTGCAACTGCTGGCCACAATCACAACCAGGCATTATAAACTGGAAGGCTCGGACCAAATGGATAATTTCTAAGTCTGGATATTGGGTGGAGCCAACACATCTTAATGAACTTTTTCCCCAGCTGAAAGTCATTATTTATATAGCACTCATTGGAATATACTAATCATCACTGACTAATCATCACTGATTCTGAAGGCAGGGTTTATCTGAATGTCCTTAAATTGTCACCCAAAAGAGCCCAAAGATCTTGATTCAACATTTCCACCAAGAGTCATCCTCTATTCAACTGTACTCAGATTTTCAGGACAATGATCAAATACAAACTGGTGTTAGTGAGGATATGCCAATGTGGGATTGGGGCTGAGGTATTGGCATTTAATTTTGAATTGTGGTTAAAATATATGTCACGTCCAGCGTGGCAAGGGCAAATGGGTTTCTCTTGAGGGGCGGCGCAGAGTGAATAAAGAGACAGAGACAGAAGTAAGATTAAGAGCTAGACCAAGGGACTCAATCAGAGAAAACTGAGCCCCAAACGGCTCAGCGCATGGCTTTTAATTGAGAATTTTCAAAGAAGTAGAACTGCTGTCAATCAAATTAGCATCTGTTTGAGGTCTGTGCCTCAAAGCCTTTTTCATTAACATATCCCATTATGTTCCAGCTTATGCTACGCCTTCGCATATCCGCCACAAGTTACTGTGTCCTCCCAGGGGAGATTAACTGTTAGCATTTCAATAGGTCCCAGTCCACCTTGAGACACTCCCCAGAGGGAGCCTGGAGCCTTATCGCCTGGTCATTCCGGGGCACTCCCTCAGAGAGATTGCTGCCTCCGGTCACACCCAGGCTTTTTTCTCATAACTAATGGGATTAGAGGCTAAATGCAGGGGGGCATGTTATAGAAATGGCTGTCAGGCAACAAATATACATAAAATTTAGCATCTTTACAATTTTAAATGTACAGTTCAGTAGTGCTAAGTTCACACTGTTGTTCAACCAACTTTCAGAATTCTTTATATCTTGCAAGCCTGAAACTCTATATCCATTAAACAATTACTCTCTATTACTCCTTCCACCAGCCCCTAACCACCACCATTCTGTTTTCTGTCTGCATGAATTTGACTACTGTAGATACCTCATATAAGTAGAATCATGCAGTGTATGTCTTTTTGTGACCAGCTTATTTCACTTAGCATAAATGTCCTAACAAGGTTCATCCATGTTATAGTATGTCATTATTTCCTTTCTTTTTAAGGCTGAATAATATCCTATTGTATGCATATACCACCTTTTTTCTATTTCACCCTTCAATGAACACTTGGTTGCTTTCACTTTTTGGCTATTGTGAATCATGTTGCTATGAATGTAGGTGTACTAATATCTCTTTAACATTCTGCTTCTAATTCTTTTAGCTATGTACCCAGAAGTGGAATTGCTGGATCATACAGTAATTCTATTTTTAATTTTTTGAGAAATTGCCATACTACTTTCCATAGCAGCTATACCATTTTACATTCCCACCATGCAACAGTACACAAGGGTTCCAATTTCTCTATATCCTTTCCTACACTTATTTCCTGTTTTGTTTTTGTTTTTGATAGCCATCCTAATGGGTATGAGGTGGTATCTCTTTGTGGTTTTTATTTGCATTTCTCTTATGACTGACTGGCATTTGTATTTTTTCCCCTAATTACACCCAGGAAAAGTTGAGAACAGAGTGAAAGGAATGTACAGACACAAAATTCTTAAGAGTAATCTCAAGGCTATTGTTCCTGCCTCCCTTATGAATAAAAACCTTTCTGTCTCCCCACCTAAATTCCATTTCTGCAGATTAAAGGGAGTCTTCCAGAAACTCTTCATTTCTTCTGAAGCCTGTGACAACCCCTCTGGGTTCATGCCTCTCTCATTAGGACCCTTCTCCCAGCAATCTAGATGCCAGGAAGCAATAACGGTAGATTAACTGTGGTTTCTACATCTCCAGGGAGTAATTTGTATCTCCAAGTGAAACTTAATCCATAGGGAATTTGGAGTAAAATGGGAAACCAGTAGGGCATGTTCTTGGAATAACTTTCAGTAAATTGCTTCACCTCTCTAGAGCAGGTTTTCTTTAGCAGTCAGAATGAAGGAGCTGATTAAATGATATTAAGGTCCCCTTGGCTTAACTTTCTGTTAGCTTACTATTACAGTTGTTGATTTGGGCAGAGCCCATTTAAATCAAGATCTGATACTAACATATTGTTTCTGAGGGTATCCTTTCTAAAAGATTTCAATGCATATTTTAAAATAATCTGCAGCTATAAGGGCCTCCACAGGCAGCTCACAGCTTCCTCAGAAATCTGACTACAAAACTTATCCTACATTTCACTTAACACCAAACCTGAATATCACAAGTGACATCTATTCAAAATTTAAATACATCTTTAATATTTTGCATCATAGGACAGTAGTGGCTGGAAGGAACACTGAGATTATTTAGTCCATAGCACTCACATTAGAATAAAGAAATAGGTCCAGAGAGTTCAAGTGACTTACCTATGGTCACATACCTAGACAGAAACAGAATAAGGATTAAAAGCTATTTAAAAGCCAGACTCTTTACTTCCTGTCCAGTGTTTGCAAATGTACTGTTGTTCAATCTCATATAACTTGATTATCTGTCTGGGTAACTGTTTCAAATCAAGTATCTAGTACGAAAAGGGAATTACCTAGTCACAGTGTTTACTGACTGGGACAAATGCTAGATCAATCATTGAAAACAGCCATTCATCTACTTATCTTGACTGTTTTGGTTTTTTTTTTTTAGCTGAGCCATCCTGCCACCTGTTGGCAGCTCAGCAGCAGCTCAGCTCAGGCCAGGATTCAAACCACTGTTGCTCAGAGCTCGCACTCTTGAGCGAACTCTTAACCAATTGAGCCACTTGGCTAGCCCCAGTCTTGGCTGTTTTGTCTAACCTAATGGGTGACAGCATCAATGAAAGATGATGTATAATGCTGGAAGAATATATCTCGATCTAGAAATACTTAAGGAAACTGCCCTATCAAATTCACTGTCATTAGGACAATAGGAAATTTAACTATAATTTCAAAATGGAATATCCAAATATTACAATTCTAGTCTAGTGTTTTAAATTCACCCCTTTTTAGTTGTTAATCAAAAACTCAGAATTTAGATTGTAAAAGTTTATTGATATGGTCAAAAAGCAAAGAGCCAGACATTTGGTTATCTTTACCACTACAATGTATCATTTTGAATAGTATTTTAAAAATGCATAACAAAAAATATTTAAACCATTACTAGAAAAGTAAATTAAGAATCTACTTAAGGCACTTCCGATGAAAGCTAATTTCAGATTTTCCACAAAGGTAACATTATTTATTCTAAGTGTAGTAAATATGATTTTTACAGAGTTTAGCCAGAATGCAACTTTTCTTCTTACAGAATAATGTGCTCTTAAGGGAGACAAAACAAATGCAAAAAAACTGTAATTCTTTCAATGCTCATGGCAAATTATCTGGAGCTATACAGATTACATGGCAGTAGTATTCCTTTTGTCAGTATACAAATCAGGGCATCTTCATACAAGTCTAATAAGAATCACAGCATGAATTTATTTGGCCTGAGACAAGTACAAGAACAGCAGATTAGGAATCCATAATCACACAATTTACAGGGGAGTAATTAACAAAAAGTGGCTTCACTAAATGAGTAAAACGTCACCCATCCCCTTACCTGCCCATCTACTAACAAAAAACAAACCAAAAAAATCCACTTTTATAAAACATTTCTTCTTAGACAATTATATCCATCTCTTTCTGCAAGCCTCTATTATATAAGACTTCTAGATCACATGGAAGAGTTATTAGATAGCAAATAGTAGCTGGCCAGTCCCAGTATTATTTGAATTCAATAATTCTAAGATTTAATTTATTTTCACAATCACAATTCTCACATTTCTATAATAGTGGCATTTCAGGATACTCTTCATAACTATAGGGGCGGTTACAGGTAGATCTAATGTTAACCATCAACTTTCATTCTTCACAGAAATTTGGTTAGCATATATGGTTATTTCCACTGACAGAAAGAAAGACAAGACTCAAAGCCTATTCAAATGTTTACTTTGATTCTCCACTTGAAGTGAGAGAATGAAGGCATTTAAAAATAACAGCAAAAACAGAACAGCTTTCAAGAAACATTTACTTTCTATTCACAGGCAACAGCTCAGGATTTCATGATTTTCTTTTCCCAATCTTAGGAAGTCATTTTCCTAAACACAAGGGTTATTTGTAACTGTAATACAGAAATCAACTTAACCAGATGAGCCTATTTTTTTTCTCTGAGGTACAAATGAAATAAGTTACAATCTCTAATTTTCAGAAACATTTTAGACCATTTTTAAGTTACAATGATTTTAGCACTAAGATACATTTTCATTATAGAGTGGCCTGACTTAAATAAAAGTAGGGAGACAGAATGAACCTAAAATATTTCCAAATACAAGGCAGTTACCACCATGCTCGTGCAGAAATCACGTATTTAGAGATACTTTTTAGTGTCTTCAGCCACCAAGAAGTATAGCTAACACTTTATTTCAGTAGGAAAGATGGAGGAGGTGGATTGGCTAGTCTTCTTTTCTAAAAGGTAGACATATACTCTGAAAAATGGTGTTCCATTTTCATAAGATCACATATTATGATTTCTCTGCCCAAAAGAAAAGATGTGCAAAGAATACACATCCATGCCAAAAAGGAAAAGTTAAGAATGGATTCCTGATGCAGTTATGTGTTAACAGGTACATACAGGAACTCCTGGTCAGGACTTTCTGACCCCCACCTTTGGAAAAGATAATGAACTAAAGCAGTTTTGAATCTTGTCCTAATTAAAATAAAGTAGTAGTTTTTAAATTTTTATAATATATTTAATACTACTAAATTAAATGTTCCATATAGTTCACTACGAAGGGAAGGTAAAGAGGAGAATTGTATCCAAATACTTCATGATTTTGACAGGAAATTGCTGTTAAGGCACTACACATCTTCTTTGGTTAAATGATTAACTATTTAAATCACTTGAAAAAAAGAGGTAATACAAAATACACAAATTGCGTTCTTCTTTTCACACACACGCGCGCGTGTGTGCGCGCACGCGCACACACACACACACACACACACACACACACACACACACACACCATTTTCATTTTTCAATTTCTATTACTCCAGTGTCTACGTATCTCTGGGATCCTTTTTAGCTCATCAGAAAGCTGAAACAAAAAGATATACCAATCAGTCTCTGAAAGAAAAGGAGGCTTTACTTCCAATAAATATCTTGATTTTAATGGACCAAAGAATGTTTGGGTGCATTTACAATAAACTTTGAGTATCAATAACAAAAAATGAGAAACTCCAAGTGACTGAGGTAGGCTTAGGAGAAAAGGAAATAGACATAACTTCAAGTTAAAATATCTCCTGAAGACAGACACCAATTAAAAATTGAATTAACCATGGTGATCAAGAAACAGAAGTCCCAGCAAAATTACCCTTGTATCCCAGTTAGTATTCTACAGAGACAATATTTTAAAATATACCTACACAGAAGAATAAAAGTATAAAGTTGGAAGATTATAAGTCAATAATTAAAGTTCTAGAAGGTTTTGGTCTTAAATTAAATAAATTTGCAAGAAAAAAATGCAAAAGAAGCTTAATTTATGCTGTTCATTGATCAAAAGGCATCTAGGAATGTCACAATATAATGAGTTAATCAGGGAGCTCAAAATTATCTACTAAAATTTGTGTTAAAAATAATATGTAGAATGAATTTGTGTTTCAAAAATATCACTTAATATAGTTTACCTGTAGTGTTCATTATTCTTTATACAACAGGACAATGTTGTATTAAAAGAATAGGAATTATAGTAGCTGGTGCTCAGATTATAAAACCAACTCACAACATCCCCTATTATGTAGATACATTTCTCTTGGCTATTAACAGAGTAAAATCAAGAGCTTATAAGCAGGAAAGTAATTTCCTCTCTGAGCCTTAGAGATCTCTATGAACATTTTAAGCCAATTAGACACCTTAAACACTCTTTCTTATGGTCTCCACAAACTGGATTTTAATCAAATGTTCTGTTTATGCCATCTAAAGAGCCTTGAAAAGCAGAGGTGAGAAGCTTTAAAAAACATTTAAAAAATAATTTCCTCCTCAAGAGGAGGTAGAGTATGCAGACAAGGAACTGTGTGAGTAGATATAGTACAAAATGTTCTAACTATTATGTGTTTTAGAGATTTCTAGATTAAATTAGGTGACGTCAGAATAACGTTGAAAGATGTTCTTGAGAAATGAAATACTATTGTCCATTATATCATAATTATCTTAAACTAATTTTAATATGCAACATGCCTAAATTAAATTAAAGCCTATCTCTTTGCTTTAGAAACTGGAATACTCCAGAGGTAAAGCAAAAAACGGAAACATTATAAAGCAACATCAACTCTAATCATTGTAAATACAGGTAATCACTATATAAATGAAAAACAATCATACCTATATGGATATCCATGATATTTAGATCTGAAAATAGACAGCATCCAACTGAAGAATAATACAACGAGTCCAATACCAGCCACACACATTACTGCAGAAAAACAAAAGGAAAGTAAAATGAGCATGTTATGCATAATAAATGACTAGGGCACAAATTTTAGTCTACACTTCTGAGAAAAACTAGGGCTATAACTTACTGGTAAATTTCAACTTTCCAATAATTTTCATCCCCATTCTTACATCTTCAGGAGTCTGGCTTCCCCCTTTAATTTGTTCCATTACGATAGAATATAGTAGCTTCATTTACATAGTTGTGCAATTTAATTGTATGAAATAATGAATTCCTTTAAAGCCATGACAGTCAAGAATTTAGTGTTAGAAAGCTTTACTACCGACAAGAAAATCACTCATTAAACTTCTTTTATACCCTTAAAAGTGGCCTTATTGTATTACTGATAAATATTGACTTAAGATATCTGATAACATCATTGTGACAGCCTCACTTGAAAGTACTTCATTCATACACAGGTAACTTCACTCCTTATATGAGGAACTAATTCAACATGGGATTCCTCATTTGAATGTGAAGGAAAAAAAACCTGATTCCTAGCCCTAAATTCATAGCTCTCTCCATTAATCTCATACACTGTGGTTTAGCAGTTAATGACCTTAACTGTAGATACTGACCCTACAATGCTCAAGTATGATTCCCATAACCTGAGACTCTTTGAGTCCCTGGACTAAGACTGGCTAAGAAGCATAAAGGCAAGGATGTGGGAAAGCGTGTGTACTAGAGCAATGGAAGCTCTAGGGAAATATACTTATTGGTAAATACTAAAAACAAATTTCAATTTTTTTATATTTAGGGAACAATTCTTTTCCACTTTTTAATTTTCACACATTACGGGCTAAAATATAAACATTAAACATACCGTATTTCCCCATGTATAAGACGCACCCATTTTAGACAAATTTGGGGTCTAAAATATGGGTGCGTCTTACACAGAGGTTGTAGATTTTTTTACTTGCACTTCCTGCTTTTTTCGAATTTCGCTTTTTTATGATGAATAAAACTTGAGTTCAATAACTTTATGTAATACATTTTTTTTTCAAATTTCAGGCCCCCAAATTAAGGTGAATCTTATACATGGGGAAATACGGTATTTTCTTCTGAGTATTAATCCGTCCTTATTGTAGAAAAGTATTTTTTTCTAATTAAATGCACATATACATGTACATATACAGTATCACTTTGTATATGTTTGTATTCTACTTTTCTTCACATATCTAAAGTACTTAGGGCAGTTCCTGGTACAGAGTGTTAAATAAATGTTTATGTTTATGTTTATGATTATTTCATTTGGTTAGAATCTTAGATCAAATTGTGATTATTTTAATATGTTGCCAAAATGTTTTACAATTTAAATTCATGCCAGCAGTGTAGTACCCAGATGACCTTTTCCTAATAATGAACACTGAAATAGACAATTTTTTAAAAGTCAGGTAATTAAAGTAAGTATATTGACAAAATAAAAATTTATACATTAGTTGTTTTTCTAATATGTAAAAATTCATTTTAATTCAGCAAAAGAAGTCTCTCTCAGTTTGAAACCCAATGTCATCATCTTTTTTCTAGAAGAAAAAGTAAACAGACTATATTTAGCTAGGTTAATTTTTATGACATTTAACATTTTAATCATAAAAGGAAAGCTGACAGATTTCACATTAGTATGAAATTACATTGTTAGCATCTCTTTGCAACAAATACCGATGTTTGAATATTCTAATACATAAAAAGTCCATGTAAACCAATAGGAAAAGGACTAAGACTAACAGATAAATGGCAAAAGACAAAAAGAAACTTACAGAAGGAAAAGGCACAAACAGCTAATAAACATTTAGGAACCAAAGAAGTAGAAAATAACATAACATTTCCCCCTTATCTGATTAGACGACCACACACACACACACACACACACACACACACACACACACTTTTAATGAGGTTATCTAATGCTGATAAAGTTACAGTGAAACAAGCATTCATAAATATCACTAGTAAAAATCTAAATTATTATGACATTTGGGGAAAGAATTTGGCATCATCAGTTTAAAACATCAAGAAAGTTGAAAGTACTCATATGCAGGATCACACAGTCATTCTACTTCTAAGAATGTACCTTAAGAAATTAATATGAAATGAGGGTAAAGCTTAATATATCATGATAGTCACTGAATGTATTTATTATTATGAAAAAAAGACTAAGTGCTTATAATCACAGTGGTAAGTAAATTACAATATAGAATATAAATTTAAAATTATGTAGAGGAAAACACTTATTAGGGAATTATTTAACTCCAGTTAAAAAGGGAGAGTACAAGATTCAAAATTTTATACCAAGATTTTTTTTTCTTTTTTAGCTGAGCCATCCTGCCACCTGTTGGCAGCTCAGTTTGGGCGGGACTCGAACTGCTGTTGCTCAGAGCTCGCATTGAGTGAGCTCTTAACCAGCTGAGCCACTCGGCCAGCCCAAACAGCAGGCTAAGATATGTTTTATCAATGGAAAGAACTATATTACAATGTTAAAATTATGTTTTTTTAATGGTGGAATAATGGGTAACTCTCCTTCCAAACGTGTCATACTCCTATTTTCCTCCATATTTTCTACAATAAACATATATTCCTTTTATAATAGTAAACAGCTAAAATAACATACTTATAACCCAGGGGAAAGTGATAAAGAGGACATTCTTTTTCTGTATTAAGGGCAGAATTGTTACATTTTGGCATATGATATGACTTACTCTTTCGCTTTCCAATATCCATGTCAGATGTAGCAGCTTCACACAAAAGCACCATCCCCAAGGTAACCCCACCATCTTAGAAGAATTGTTTAAGGAAAATTCACACGAACACAAAAGACATACCACTTTAATATTCTTAGTCTTTCATAAAGAAAATTAGTATGAATATATAAACTTGCAACTTTTAATTACAAAATACTGTAAATAAGTAACCTTGTCTATATAGCATGACAATTATTTACTATAAAGACATAATAAAAATAAGGTTGGAAAATTATTTCATTTGTACAAATGAAAATTGGTATTTTAAATAAATGTGCCACTATAACTTATAGATGAAATTAGTTTTCCTGAAATTGTACTTTGAAATAACCTTCCTGAAGTCTTCCAACTTTTGTTCCAACCTCATACACATTCAAAAATATTAAAAAGATATTCTGAATATTTCAAATATCCTCCCCACAAAAAACACTTGATATATACACCATCTACAGACAACAGCAACTTTTTAATAGCAACTAATTTTTATGTGAAACAACTTCTCAAAAATTCTCCAGAATTTCAACTTTTAAGGTACAAATTATTAAACTACCTATTTTTGTCCTATTCTAATAAAAAAAGAAATCCCACATGCCATGACCTCACTTTTATTTAGCTTAATATAAAAGCTACGTAAATACAAAATAGACTTACTCAAGCAAATAGGTAACACAGGGGATTACTGAATGCGAAAATAAGCAAAATCGAATTTTAAAGTAAACAGAATGTGTTCTATTAGAAGAGATTCACCCTGCAATTTGGTGAATACAAACAGCAGGTAAAAATTCCCAAATTAATTATTCATACACACATGCACATTATATGTTACCACATGTGGGTGTAATTAAAGAAAAAGGGAAACACAGCTGTTCACATAAAGCCCGAAATTATAATTGGCTGTATAATTTGTCTATTCATCGCTTCATTACAATCTTGCACCCTCTCTTCAATAGTCTCTTGTTAAGGAAGATACCCATTCATCATGTTCTTAGTTGCTTAACCATGTCTCTTCTCCAGAGATTATATTTTTCTTACTGAGGTTCTTTATATCTAAGAACATGTAAAGATCGATCATTTCTATAATCTTTAGTTACAGGGTACTCCGATTAATTGTTGAGACTTTTGTTTTTGCAAGTTTATTTTTTATTTTTTTAAAAAAAGATTTTATTGGGGAATTGGGGGAGGGGAACAGCGGTTGCAGAATCGGGGAAGGGGAACAGACAAATTGCTGTTTTTTTGTTCTTGTCTAGTTGTGGAGGATACAAACAATGAAATAAATAATAATTACATACTTGTAATCATGACTAAATGTCACTCTGGAAGAAATGAATAGAAAATAGAGGAGATGGTATTTTATAACATACAAGAACCAGGCTATTAAGAGCTAGTAGAATTAAAGTACATTAATAAGGCTGGCCGAGTGGTGTGTTGGTTAAAGGTTGGCTTGGAAAGCCAGCTCTGAGCAGCAGGGCCCTGGTTTGGATCCCACATTAACGCCAGTGACTCTGTGCCCTCTACAGCTAAGATGGTGAACAACAGCTTGTCCTGGATCTGGGCTGCCATGAGTGGCTGGCGATGGCGTAGGCTGCAGTGGAGCTGAAGTGGGCTCCTGTAAACTACTGTGAGCTGCCAAGAGCTGCCGTGAGCAGCTGTCCAGTGACTAGCGACCGATCTGCCTCACCCAGGAAGAGCATAATGATAATACCAACTTGGTCCAGTGAAGCGATGTCCTCCACAACTAGACTGAAGAACAAAAGGACAGCAACTTGTCTGTTCCCCTTCCCTGATTCCCCAATGCTGTTTCCCTTCCCCAATTCCCCAATAAAATCTTTTTTAAAAAAGTCATTAATATATGATAAAGGCAAACTCATTTGCATAAAATGAAGCATAATTACAAAATTGTGGGAAAATGTTTCAAGTACCTTGATTATTATGGTCCAAGGTAGATTTAAACAATGACCTATAGGGGGGTTGTCACTTTGAGGGGTAAAAAATATAACTATTGCACTGTGTTGTACAGCTGAAACTAATTTTAAAAAATGTTTATTTCACAATAAAAATAAATAAATGAAAATTAAAGAAAAAGGGAAAAAACCAATGAGCAATAATTTCGTTGCCTATTGAATAAGAATTTTACAAAAGTAAGACTACATAATGATGGTTAGGACTTGTCAGGGATATCTGAGCATATAAGTGTTTCAGGCAACAAATCTTTCTCCCCTCTTTTTTTAGCAAAACCATTCTGGAAAACAATTTGGAAAAAACATCAAGAGCAAAAGACAGTTTCATACATTTTTTTCAAATGTTACTTCTGGGAATTTGGAGATATGCCAAACTATTTTTATATCTAAGAAAACATTCTTTGCAATGTTCAACAATAGAATAATTGAATTATGAGTGACATATCCATTATATAAACATTAAGAACAATGACTATTTTTCCTTTTCTTGCTTATATTTTCTTATTTATCTGTAATTCTCATGCACGTCTGTAACTATAAAGGCCATACAATGATACAGAACGTGCTTATAACATATTAAGAAACCAAACTACACGCAAAGTTATGTGTATAACATCAATCCGTAGTTACATAGACAGGCTTTGTCGATGTCTTGGGATAGGTGCTACTTTATTTTTTCAAATTTAAATATATTTAATGTATGATTCAATTTATGCAAAGTTAAAAAATAGGTAAAAGTGATCCATGGTGTTAGCAGTCAAGAGAGTAGTTACCTTTGGGCAGGAAGGTAATGATCAGGAAAGGTGACGAGGTGGGGGATGATCTGGGATGTGAGTAGTTTTATTTTTTCATCTGGGTGCTGGTTACAGTTGTGTTCATTTTGTGAAAATTCATCAAACTGTATACTTATGAATTGTGAACTTTTATGCATAAAGAATACTTCAAATAAAAAAGTTTAAAATATAATTTTAACAGTTGCTTAGATCAGACAACTCATCATATAGTTTGCTTTATTAATCATGCAGTAAACTGAATATTAAAAAATGATAAATATGTGGATACTTTCTAAAATCATAGCTATGACTTAGTAGTAGTTTTATTATATTAATTCTTATCAACATTTTAATCAAAATTCTTATTAAACTTTGAGTTTTTAGTCTTTGGGATTTGCATCCACTAAAAAAAAGGGAGTTTGAAGTCTTCTGAAAAGTTCCCTACCTCTAGCAAAAGTTAAATAGCTTTATTAATTATCTCGCCATCCTACCTAGTACTCAATAGTTAAGGTGCCATCTTGAAATCTGTACACGTCTGTTTGTCCCAGTACTATAAGCTCCTTAGACAAATCATGCATTCAGAGCATTTAGCAAAATAAATGCTCAGAAAATATTACCTTCCCAACCACTACCAAAAATACAAAAATAAAATAGGGGGGAAAACAACACTCTGAAAAAAAAATTCCCATTTTGCATCCTACTAACTAAATTTACAAGAAATTCTATATTCCAACAGGCTTACAATCTGTTCCGAATGTATGTGAAACCTTAAGCTAATGTTTAACCTTTAGGCAGAAGGAAAAAGTAAGAAAATTTCAATTTTTGAAATTTATATAATTATATTTAAAATTTTAAAACAAAGCTAAAAAACCAACAAACTGCAAATCAATTAACATGTTACAATTTTAACTGCCCTATTGTAGCACTGTTCAATTTCAACGTGCAATTAATTGAGACCTCTTCCAGAAACTAAAAATTTTTCAAGTATAATAATTTGTTAATCCACCAATCCATAAATGAACACTTTCAACTTAAATTTTGAAATAAGTCAGACAGAGAAAGACAAATACCATATGATCTCTCTTATATGTGGAATCTAAAAAAAAAATCACACACACACACACACACACACACACACAC